ACCAAATTCCTGATTCCCACGTACTCCTATATTGGCTGCTTCCACCACCTTCTCTATCTCAGTAAAAGGCAATTCTAACTTTGTAGAAGTTCAGAGCTAAGCCCTTGAAGTCATGCTTATTGCCCATCTCTTAACATACCCATCAGCAAATTCTATATTATATATGTTTTTCAATATTATTATCCATACATATGATTTTATTTATTTATTTACTTATTCATTCATTCATTCATTTTTGTGTGTGTGTGTGATGCTGGAATTTGAACCCAGGGATGCTTTACCACTGAGCTATATTCCCAGTCCTTTTTGTTTTTCATCTTGAGACAAGGTCTTGCTAAATTGCTCAGACTGACTCTGAACTTGGGATCCTTCTGCTTCAGCCTCCCGAGTTGCTGGATTACAATAGGCATGTGCCACCTTACTCAGCACATACATAAAATTTAAATTGCCAAATAGCATTCATGTATAATAAGAACTACACAGACGGGGCCCAGGACTGTTCTAAGTGCTTTACATATAAGTCATCTAATCTTCATAAAATACTTCAACATAGGTACAATTATTATCTCCGTTTTATAGATAAACTAAGTCACCAAAGTCATCCAGTTATTCTATACTTGAATACTTAGATTGTTTAGAAGTTTCTAGTTGCTATAAATCATGGAGTTTTAATCACTTGTGTTCAAAGACTTTTCTAATTTAGAATAATTTCTTGGGCATATTTTCTCAGAAACTAAGTTATTTAAAGAATGCAAACCTTCTGAATTCCTAAAATAGCTAAGCTATGATTAGTAAAATTAGCTCTTTGAAATCTGAAGTTATATGTAGTTATTAGGAAATTAGGTTTTTTAATAGAGAAGATATAAAGAACTTAGTTAAACATGATCCTTGATTTAGTTATTATGTATTTAAAATACTCTTTTACGAAGTGTTTAGTTTCCTTGTGTATAAAATGAAGATAATCCCGATAGTACAATTTCCTCACAAGGTGCATTCCTCAGACCCTCATTTCTACCAAAGTAGAAACCATAGTGTTATTTTCCCCCAAACAAGCCACCAACTCTGAAACTTAGATCTAGTTCTGCTTCTTCCTAAAAGCAGATTGGTCCATTGCAGTCTTTAGGATCAATGAAGCACTGAAGTCTGACTTTTAGTGACTCTGCGTGTCTGCATTTTACACCTACCTTTGCTTGTTCATTACTGTTTCAAGATCCCATTCTAGTCTCCTTCTGAACCTAAAGGAATGATCATAGTGATAGATTTGCCATGATTGTGTATTAACTATGACCACCATAGTTTATTATTGTGCTCTTATCTCAATTTCAATATCATAGATTTGAATAAAGAATAGTTACTAATAAGTGACCTATGCTGCTTTTTAAAAAAAAATCTAGTCTTCAGACTTCAGAAAACCCCATTACTATGAGGCAAAACTTCTTGGTTATATGTACCAACACTTTATTTTTTAGAGAATTTTCATCCCTATGGTAGAACTAGTTATATTATCTTCTTCCTTCAGTTAAGAAAACCTAACAGAAGTGTTTTTGTAAAAAGGAGAAAGTTCCAGAAGCCAGGAAGCCCCCACCTTTGCTTTTCTTTCTTCGTGCATTGGCTTGTTGGTTGGCAGTTGTTCTTTTGTAGATTCTTCTTTGCTCTTCCCAGTACTTCCCAGTAAGCATCCCTGTCAGATTCTGTCAGCGTCAGACAATCCTGAAAGATGAAGAGACCAGAAGGAAAACAGTGCCCATATTCTTTCAGCAACAGAGATTTGAGATTTTGCAGTGGCTTTATGGTGTTGCTCCACAAATCTCCTGCCTCTGGAGGCCCTATCCAGAAGTTCCTGACCTTCGGGCAATAATTCCCTAAAATTTAGCTGGAAATCTGAGAGCTAATTATGGGTTTGCCTTTTCACCTGTTTTATAAGCACTTAATTCATTTACTAGTTCTAGAAGTTTTCTGGTGGAGCTTTTTGGGTCTGCCGGGTATAGAATCATATTGTCAGCAAATAGTGCTAATTTAAGTTCTTCTTTTCCTATGTGTATCCATTTAATTTCTTTCGTCTAATTACTCTGGCCAGTGTTTGAAGAACTATGTTAAATAGAAGTGGTGAAAGAGAGCATCCCTGTCTTGTTCCAGTTTTTACAGGAAATGCCTTCAATTTTTCTCCATTTAGAATGATGTTGGCCTGGGACTTAGCATAGGTAGCCTTTACAATGTTGAGACATGTTCCTGTTATCCCTAGTTTTTCTAGTGTTTTGAACATGAAGGTGTGCAGTATTTTGTCAAATGCTTTTTCTGCATCTATTGAGATGATCATATGATTTTTTATCTTTGAGTTTATTAATGTGATGAATTATGTTTATTAATTTCCTTATGTTGAACCAACCTTGCATACCTGGGATGAATTCCACTTTTTCATGGTGCACGATATTTTTGATATGATTTGTATTCGATTTGCCAGAATTTTATTGAGAATTTTTGCATCTATGTTCATTAGAGATATTGGTCTAAAGTTTTCTTTCTTTGATGTGTCTTTGCCTTGTTTTGGACTCAGGGCGATATTGGCCTCATAGAATGAGTTTGGAAGTGCTGTCTCTTTTTCTATTTCCTGAAACAAATTGAGGAGTATTGGTATTAGTTCTTTTTTAAAGGTTTTGTAGAACTGAGCTGTGTATACATCTCGGTTGGTAGGCTTCTGATGATGTCTTCTATTTCATCACTTGATATTGGTCTGTTTAAATTGTGTATATCTTCCTTCAATTCAATCTGGGCAAGTCATATGATTTAAGAAATTTGTTGATGCCTTCAATATTCCATTTTATTGGAGTATAAGTTTTTGAAATAATTTCTAATTATCCTCTGTATTTCTGTAGTGTCTGTTGTGACGTTACCTTTTTTTTTTTTTTTTAATCACATATGCTGGTAATTTGAGTTCTCTCTCTCCTTCTCTTCGTTAGCATGGCTAAGGGTCTATCAATTTTATTTATTTTTCAAAGAACCAACTTTTGACCCAGCTATCCCTCTCCTCATTCTATATCCAAAGGACTTAAAAACAGCATACTCCAAGGACACAGCCACATCAGTGTTTATAGCAGCACAATTCACAATAGCTAAACTGTGGAACCAAACTAGATGCCCTTCAGTAGATGAATGGATTAAAATGTGGCATATATACACAATGGAATATTACTCATCAATAAAAGAGAATAAAATCATGGCATTTGCAGGTAAATGGATGGCATTGAAGAAAATAATGCTAAGTGAAGTTGGCCAATCCCCAAAAAACAAATGGTGAATGTTTTCTATGATATAAGGTGACTGACTCATAGTGGGGTAGGGAGAGGGAGCATGGGAGGAATAGACAAACTCTAGATAGGGCAGAGGGGTGGGAGGGGAAGGGAGGGGGCGGGGGATTAGCAATAATGGTGGAACATGATGGACATCATTATCCAAAGTACAGGTATGAAGACATGAATTGTGTGAACATACTTTATATACAAACAGAGATATGAAAAATTGTGTTCTATATGTGTAATAAGAATTGTGATGCATTCCGCTGTCATGTATTTAAAAATAAAAACAATTAAAAAATAAATAAAATGCAAATCATATATATATATATATATATATATATATATATATATATTTAATGTCCTGTTTTAAATATCTTCTTGCTTCAAATACCAGAATAGTTTCTGTTTTTCTGACTAAAGATTGACTGCTATGTCCTAGCTCTTGTATTTACGTAAACCTGTGGTTAGGTATTCACCTCAGTAAAGTAAAACATACCAAAACAGAGAAGTCTAGTTTAGATTATCAGCACCAGATCCCTAACCCATAATTTGCAATATATTTTTTTTAACCCAAGAAGTAACCCATTTGTGTGATTGCATTTTCTTCTCCAGGTCTTATAGAATACTACAACATAAATCATAACACAGAGGCCAGATCAAAAAATTACCATAGGAGCATCACCAGTGTTCCAAGGTGATACCCTGAGGATGGGGGTTACAATATGTACATGTCCATCCCTAATATTTTTCTGCTCCCTTTTACTTTATTCTGTTTATATGTGTATTTATTGTATTTATGTTTTGTCAACTCTTTTAAGGAAATGTTTTTTGGAGGGGCAGAGGAGAGTCCTCAGCTCCTAGGAAATGTTAAAAAAATATGGTTAAATTAAACGTAAAATTAATGAGTGGTTTTCTACTTGTTTTGATGAAGCAAACAGCAGTTCACACATTTCAAATTTGAGTTAACTTTTAGCTAAAATAAGCCTCTCAGTTTCTCCAAATGGGTTAGCTGTTCATTTTATTTTAGAATTTCTTTCTTCCTTGTATTCATGATGGATTTATGGTTAAACCTTTTACACCTGTTTAAAACAGATTTTAGATTATCTCCGTGATTCTTGTGTACACTAAAACTTGAGAACCACTGTAATAAATAAAAGCTGAACTTTGTTTCTTTGAAATCCTCATTCAAGGAGTTAAATCTAAAGAATCCAAAGCCTTCAGGCTCTTCACAGGATTCACATCTGAGAGATGATGCATAGAATCAGAATTTTGAAGGTGCAAAGATTCTTACAGATCATTTAATTTTAGCCTCTCATTTAGGATGTCAGCAATCACATTTAGAGTTCATAGACAATTTGGAGCAGAACAGAAATCAGAATGCAGTTATGTGAATTTCAATTCAGTGCTTTCTAAAACATGGTTGTCATGTGCATTTGTGGGAGTGGTGAACTGCACAACTTTATACATGTCAGTTATGCTGCAGACAAGCATATACATTAGCACAGTTTTTTTGACCAGATAGCAGTAAAGTTCAAACATAATTAGTGTATTAACTTTTCAAAACATGCAGAAGTCCCTTGAGGAAGGGATACTATTTTTTAAATATGTACAAAGATGTAACACAAGTTTATGGTCGGCAGCCCCTCTCAGCTTTTAATAAAAAGCATACCTTTTAATTAACATACAATCTACAGGCTCTAATCTCACTAACATACAGTACAGATACATTTTATGGAAATTTGAATTATACAATTTGAGATTGCTGAAACAGGAAAAAAAAACTTTACAAAAACAAAGTTTTACTGCAAAAACTGCACGTCTCTAAAAAGCTGCCGAGAATTGCAAATTCCGAATTGGCTAACCAAGTGAAATGCAAATTGGATTCATGGATCATCATGCAGAGGTGGTGCATCACACAATATAGAGTGACCCACACTCCAATTGATGGGCACTGCAACTTCCAATGTGAGTCAGTGACCATGATGCCATTGCCTGCACTAAAAACTTTTAGCATAGAACTTACCAATGATAAAACACTTGAACTCCTAACCACTGCAACAATGGTATACCATCTGTTAATTTAGAAGACAGCACACTCTAAAAAGCACTGGAGAAAATGATGTAAAGGTGAAATATAGCAGTAGGGCCAAAAAACCACAACAGCATCCCACTTAATATTTTTTTCTGTGAAAACTGGTCTTAAGTTATGAGTATTTGAAATTATGCAATGTATTCAGGACAGCATTCCTTACACAAAGTGCAGCTTCCTTTACTTTAAAAATTTTTGAGGTCTTTCAGTGATTCTAATTCCAACTCTATGCCTGAAAGACAATGTGTAAAATTAGAAGCCCAGGGGTTTTCCAATTGAACATGACATTTAGTGATCCACAAAGGGGATGTAAGTCTATGGTAAGCTTTCCAGAAGTTAGATCTGTTTTTGTGTGTTATTAATTTTTTCTAGTACACAGGGAAATGCAGCATCATGTAGAATAATGCTGTGGGTAGGTTTGGTCCAGGCTCTAATAGGTTTTGAATTTGTCACTAAGTCACAAAGCTTACCTTCACTGTACCTGTTCAACCAGTTAAAACAGAGGGTCAAGCAATCGTATTGCCTCCCCTCCCCAAGTTAGAGGATTAATGAGCTACTAAGCACAAAATGCTTTTAACCTAAGGAACACAACAAATACTGTGGCCTTGTGGGGCAATATCCACAGGGGAATAGAGCCACACCCTCAGCACCACCTGATGCTGTTGCAGCCAACTCCTTGGTCCCAGGACATCAACTCTGCATATGCTCAAATTTCCAGGGAAGCTGGCCTCAAATTTGATATATTTCAAAATTTTTTTCTAGCACTAGGGATTGAACCCGGGGGTGCTCTACCACAGAGCCACATCCCCAGCCCTTTTTATTTTTTTATTTTGAGATAGGGTCTCCCTAAGTTAGGGTCTAGCTAAGTTGCTGAGGCTGTCTTTAAACTTGCAGTCCTCCTGCCTCAGCCTCCCAAATAGCTGGGATTACAGATGTGCACCACCAATCCTGGCAAATTTTAGTATTTGTAAAAATTATCAAAGTGCTGACTATGAGGGTAACTAGAACCTTGTTGAAACCTTACATTTACTTTATGGTTTTGTATTACTTGTAATTGGATTATCACAAACTTGTCCCAAATATAATACTCAATTAAAAAAAAAAATTGCCAAGAAATTTTAACAGTTTATTTTTTTTTAAAATTACTTCTTTTCAAGCAGGCAGTCTTAATAAATAACTAAGTTCTCTTACCAATATAGATTGATCAGAACACCTTGGAGAGTACTGCAAATTTAAGAATATGAAATCTTGTTTGGTTAGGGAGTAACCTATGCTTAAAGTCAAGGGCTGATCTGATAAATTCTGGGTGACATTTTCAGTATTACTATCTTAATGACTTGCAGACAAGCTTGGGATCTTAGAATTTGCAGAGGAATATTATTTAAAAAATTTTTCTTTCCTATTAAGGCCAGGTTTGCTGAGAGGTCTCGATGAGTTCTGTGACCCCTGGCACTTGTCATTTCCAAATATACATGATTTTTCTACTCTTGTACCATCACTGAGATATGTGTGTGCATAAAAACAAAAACTATATATATCTACCCTGTATTTCCACATTTTGGATCCCCTCCAGACACCATTCCGAATATGACAGTCGGCTGCAGGGTAGTAAAAATGGTTCTTTCCTCAAAATAAAACCTTTAAAGATCCCTTAGTAGCTATTTGGGGACTGGAATTCAATTTCAATTCTCCACCCTTTGGCCAGCTGTAGATTCAAAATGCTTACATAAAACATCCAGAGTATGTACTTCATGGCAAATTTGATTTTTCTTTTGCAATAGAAATGTGTGCCATAGTTACCACAAACTTTATCTTTATTTAGAAAAAAAATGCATAGCAGTAATGCACCTCAACAAGAGAGAACAGATCTTTTTAAAATTTTATTTTTATAGGTGTCTTTGATATAAGCTTCTTACAACACAGAGCTCATGAAATCTACACCTGCAAATCATAATACTCTCTATTTTATATCTAAAAGCATTACTTCTCAAATTCTATTATTACAAGTAGTTCTTGCACATAAATGTTACATCACAATAGCAAAAAAAATGTAAACTTCTTTTGCAAACTACATAAATACTATAATATCTACTTTAAAGTTATTCTTATTTTAAATCAGAATATGTTCTAAATACCTTACACAGAAAACTTTGGTCAGTAGCCTATATATTATATATCATATCATTTTCCTTTTTTTTTTTTTTTTTTTTACTGGTTTGCTTTTTCGTGTTGCCCATGTAAGTCTTTGAAGAAGAAAAATTCAAAATAGAACCCAGATCAAAATTCAGTTCATAAGTTGGACAAGTACTGAAGTAGGTTGATAACTTTGAGCAAAATATGAAATATGAAATTATTCCACACACTAAATCTAACAAGCCAACAGCGACGTGGAGGTAACTGAAAATCAGGACTCTAGTCATGCTTGTATTTGATCCTATATGGAAGGGATTCTGCCTACTTGTTGATATACCTTTTACTATGTTGTTCTTAAAAAATCTGCTTTTAAATGAACACTTCTTTCTTTCTTTCTCTCTCTCTCTCTCTCTTTTTTTTTTAAGAGCATAATAGGTTAATTCTATAGCTACTGTCCTGGACTGAAAAGTCTAGGTGGCCAGTGACTTTCCTCTACCACCATTGTCGTTGAAGTCTTCAGACACAGAGTTCATGATAAGCAGATGTGCTTCTGTAGGCATGCCCATGCAGAGGACCACACTGAAGCCTTCCCCACTTGCCTTTTTGTTGCTATTTTTAAGTAAATGGTTTCCTCAGAACGTTCTTTTGGTTCAAAGTCACGTTTATCCTGGAGCTCTCACTGATTTGTTATTCTTAGATTCCTATTGAACATCTAGCTACTGGCCTGGTTTCTTTGAGGAGAGAAAAAAAAATACAAATTGCTGAAGCATTTCTGAAAATTTTAAATGCATGCAGAAAGAACTACGTAGGTTTTTCTAGCAGCTAAATAAGATGGCTCAAGTAACATCGTTTATTATTTATTTCAGCTTAAGCCCTTTAACAACATCTTTTAAAAACCCAGGGAGAATGGCTACAAGGTGGCGGCAAAGCCCAGAATGCTCAGCCAGCTAGCTAGATGCTCTGAGCAGTTCGAAGGACAAGTAGGAAGACACTGTGCTGTCTTCTCTCTTTCTGTGCATTTTCACCAAATGCATTGTGTCTTCTCGTCCCTGCCCATGCTTTTAAACTATGAAAAACAATATATGTATATATATATATATATATATATATATATACATATATATATATATGTATATATATATGTGTATATATATATATATATATATATATTAATTTACCAGTGATTAATTCAGACCTCAAATAACACTGTGCATGGGCTTTGTTAGAGACATGTAACCATTCTTAACAGCTCTTTCCCCAGGGGAGGCCTGGAATGAAGGAGAAGTGTCCACAGCTTAGGAGCTGTTTTTGTTGCAGACTGTGCTTTGGCTAATACTATCTTCCGTATACTGGCTGCCTGTGTCGCTCCTGCTGAGGACTGTGGAGGGGATGCGGGAGGGACGCCTCTCTGGGTTGTTCTCCTGAGAAAAACAGCAGATCATCTTCTTCATGGTGCTGTACATGTCCTCATCTTTGTAGGAGTAGATGATGGGGTTCATGACGGAGTTGAGCAGCGCCAGTAGCAGGAACCAGCGTTTCACATGCTGCACGCCACACTGCGTGCAGCTCAGGCCGTCCAGGAGCAGAACCACCAGACCTGGGGTCCAGCACACCACGAATGCCCCTGGAGGGAGAGAAGAGGAAGCAATATGGACTCAGACTTATTCAGGATCCTTTTCTCCTAACCTTCAGTTTATGGCATCAAGGGACCACGAGGGTTTGTCAACTGCAAAACAAACTTTCAGCTTTCATTTGAGCATTTGAGACCTGGATTTGTGAGAGACAAATAGCTGGGAACCTCCTTGATTATCAATCATATAGGTTTTACTATCTCACCTGCTTACCCAGGTCTTGTTATTGTTCAGAGCTTACACCAACCTCCTGCTTAGGAAAACCTATACTCACATGATCTCCAGCAGTTCTCTGACCCACCCACGCTGGAAGGCTGATGCGATCATTATCCACATTTGACAGATGGGGAAACTGAGACTCAATTCCAGGGGGACATGGGGGGAAGCCTCTCTAACACTAGGATCACACACCCAACCCTATATGCTGCTGTTCTCTAAATCAGACATTCTAAATGCTTTCTTGAAAATAGGACACACCGCATCCATGGTGTATCTCCTAAGGTTTTAACTAAGTCACCCATTCAAAAATGCTATTCTTTACAAATTCATGCCAATGCTTGGTAAGCATTGTATTTTTTTTTTTTTTTTTGCATCTCCACAGGTCATCTGCTTAATCATCTGGCCAGAAATAAAATTTTCCTGGGAGGGTAGAAAAGTGCTTTTGAGACTCCACAATAGAACAGAAGATTCTTATTGTCTTCTTACCCTGTAGCCCAAGTCTCTAGCTATTGGAGCAACTTTACCTTACTTGCAAGTTTCCTGAAAATTTTCTTTTAAAATATGAGTCAAGGATGCAATATTCTGCACTTGGTTCTCATAACCAAGTAGCAGCTAGAGTTTGTACAGTGCTCAGTGAGCTAGCACTGGTGTGAATGACTTCCCTTGATTAACTCAGGACTATAATATGAGGTCGGCATTATTATTATCTCTGGGAAATGGAGACACCAAGAAAATTATGTAACTTGCCTTTGTTTTAATAGCTCTTAAGGGACACTTAATTTTGAATGCAGGGAATCTTTTGCCAAGGGCTATGCTCTTGGCCTTCATGTGACCTGACCTCAGTAGTGTGATGTGGTTACTTTCTTCAGTGTCCTTGTCATTTCCAAATACACTTGCTTATTCATGTGAGGAGCTCTACTAGACAGCAAAGGAGGTGACGATCATGTACTCAGGGAGCTAAAATGCTGGACAAAGAATAAGCAGATAATTCTATAAAACCATAGCAACAAATAGTTACTCTTAGTGGATAGAATTAATCCTGGGCAGTTTCTTCTTGTTGCCTTTATTTTCCTTCTAAGGGACAGAATGAAATGCCATGAGCTCACTTTATGAGCCACCCAACATAGGCAAAATATTTCATTTTTCTGAGTCTTCATTCTCTCCTTTAAAAAAAATAAGATGATAAACTTAACTATGTGGGGTGGTTGTGGGGATCCGAGGTAATAGAAAATGGTGCTCACCAGTATGCTCGAGGCAGCAAAAGCCCTGAGACGTTAGGTGACATACTCCACAGCGTCACGTGTCAGAGCCGGGATTTGCACCCAGGATTTGCACCAGAGGCTGTACTCCTGTCCCTAATCTGGGATGCTCAGTGGTGGGCCAGAAACTGTCTTATTAGTAAAGTGAGTGACGGGGGTACTTCTGGATCTAAAGTTCCTTTTGAGGTATGTCACGTCTGACCATGAAGCTGTATATATCATAACTAAGTTATGCTTTGACATGCTAAAGAAAGAATATCTGGCCAGAAAAAGGAAAGAAGGAGAAGAAATGGGGAGGGAAGCAGAGGAGAAAGGAAAGGATGGGAGGAGAGAGTCTGGATACAGGGTAAGAAGAGAATAAAAATCTGCTGATCTTGTCTTCATAGTGCTTCAGAAGACCAATGAAAGACAAGTTTCCTTTGACAGAATGGCCCCAACACACCAGGCTGCTAAACTAGGGAATAGATGCTTCAGAGACATGGCCGTGAGGTGAGAGTGACACTCCATGGCAGTCACCTGGGGAAACACTCTGGTACCCAGAGGCCAAGGTTTCAGCTCAAATACATCTCTGGAGGTAGGCACAGTTAACTTAACAGTTCATTCTTTAGAGCTTTCTTCCATATGTCAGTAGTTAGATATGAGCCTTCACCCCAAAATCTTTCAAAGACAAAATGTCAGGAATGGTTTTGGTTCTGGGGATCTGTAATCTTGGAGAATTCTTAGAGGATGTCAGAAATACACAAATGAGCAATTGTCCTAATTCTTTAAAGTGGAGGGGAGTGTGTGTGTGAGAGAGAGGGAGTAATCTTGGAAGATACAGATCATTTAGTCTCCTACTAATCCTCAGTAAATTCTAGAAAAAAAAAGCTAAAAATAAACTTTTTGACTGGGGATATAGCTTAGTGTAGCACTTATCTCGCATGCAGAATGCTGGGGTTCAACCCCATACAGCAAAAATAAATAAATATATAAATAAACCAACAAATTCTCTTTAAAAGTGAAAGAAAACTAAAATTAAAAAGTAATGTTTTTTGAGCCAGGAGCCATTGCGCACACCTGTAATCCCAGTGGCTTGAAAGGCTGAGACAGGAGGATCACAAGTTCAAAGTCAGCCTCAGAAAAAGTGAGGTGCTAAGCAACTCAGTGAGACCCTGTCTCTAAAATTAAAAAAAAAAAAAATACAAAACAGGGCTGGGGATGTGGCTCAGTGGTTGAGTGCCCCTGAATTCAATCCCCAGTACCAAAAAAAAAAAAAAAAAAAAAAATGACCACAGAGGTGAGAAACAGCATGAGGCATATGGGGAATTCCAAATAGTTCAGGATGGTTTTAACCCAGGTATGTGATTGAGGAAGTAAGATGAAGTCTGAGAGGTCAACATAGGCCAAATTCAGAATGCTGTGAGCAAGATGCAAAAATTAAGATTTATTGTATAGATGAGACACTAAGAGCCTTTTTCAAAAAGGAGTTGATCCAGGGAACGAAGCCTAAATGCCTTCAGGCATCCACTGTACATAAAGAATTAACTTCTTTCCCAAGCTTCTAGGTGGTATGATTTATATACTATCCTTGATAGGATTAGGACAATATTTGTGTTCCATGATTCATAAGCAAACCCAAATGAAAAAGGTTAGATCAAAGGTCTTTCAGACTCAGTAGCAAGTTGGTGCATTGTGAAATCCATTTAGTGGATTGCAACCAGCAATTTTTTAAGAAACAATATAGAACAGAAAACATCAGGGTGCTGTAAGTTTACTTCAAGAAATTTGTTTCCATCACACACACAAATGTGTGTGTTAGTCTGTGATTCAGAATGTACACTATTTCTTACTATGAGTCTTTTTTTCTTTAAAGAAAAGTTTTAAATCTACTTCTATAGATCACAAACTTTTTGTCTGTTTGTTTGTTTTAAGTAGAGGAATACTTTTCCCAAAGGAGCTCTCTCATTACACCCAAAAGCCAGGTTTCTCTGACTAAAGAAAGAGCTGGGGAAGGAGATATGGCTAATGCTCTGCAGGGCAAAATTCCCTCTCATCTTCTAACTCCAAATGCTGCCCCCATACACACATGTATATTGAGGTACCTCTAAGGAACCTTGACAACTCATTGATCATAGTCTAAAAACTACTGCTATAGAATGATAGTTCTTTGAAAATTTCTAATCAGAGGTGGGATAAATCTTTTATTTTAAAGTGAAGTTTTACTCACATGCTCAGGGTGGACAGGAGGCATGTGAAACTAGATGCCTGTTCCCACCTGTGTTAGAATCACCTAGATGTCTGCTTATCATGCAGATTCCTGACCCCCCCCCCCTTAAGTCTAATCAAATGAGAAACTGATGGAGGTGTGATCTGGGCATTTCCAGTTTTAACCAGCTCCCTGGGAAATGCTATAGCATGGTAAAATTTGAGAACCCCTGGTCCAGGCAGGGAAACACATCTAAAGAAGGGCTAGAACCCCAGGGGATCCAATGAGGATCTGAAGAGGTAGTGGCTGAGATGGACAGAAGTGGATGGGTTTGAGGGGGGAGTAAGCAGGAAGGCACTGAAGACTTGATGAGTACTTGGATCTAGGAAGTGAGGGGGAGGAAAGAATCTAAGGTGACTGGATGGCATCTGGCTGTGAAAAACAAGTGGAGGAGACAGAGGAGGACTAGATTCAGAAGGTGACAGTGGTTCAGCTTTAGGCATCAGGCACTTAAGGGTATCTGTGGTTCCTTCATGGGCAGGAAGCAGCCAGAATCCTGGGTCAGAACTCAGCGCTCTAAACACAAATGTTGACTTGGGAGTCACCAGCAATAGATGGCAACTAAGTCCATATGTCCTTCCATTAATAAATATTTACTAAGCAATCATCTTCCATGTGCCAGCTACTAAAAGTGAATGTCTTCATAATGAAGCAGTCTCACTTCCTTCCATTGCCAAGTGACAGGTCAGTTATATTGATCAGATACAGTTACTTTTAATATTAATGGTGGTTTATGTTCTTTCAGTACCTGTGTAAGAGACTCACTAATAGTCCAATTAGACTACAAATGAGCTTTCTGCCAATAATCAAATAAACTAGTTGGAATGCTATTTTCAAAAATCAATAACATGAGTTCAATGTTAATTTTTAAAGTATAGTGAATCATATACTCGAATATTCAATTACAGTACTGAGATGACATTCTAATGACTTCAATTTAAGTAATCAGCAACATCAAATTAAGAACTATTTCACTCTTTGAAAGGTACAATTATAAATGAAAATATTGGTGACAAGTGAAATAAAAGATCTTTCTAAGTTTCTAAATCAAAATGAAGTTTAAATAATCTATATGTCCCCCACCCCAATTTGGAAGTTTACAAAACATCTCAAATAATGCCCTGGCTAACACCTCCCCTCCACAGTGTAGGAAATAGTAAGAGAGAAGAGCACTCTAGCTGGGAGAAGTGGCCTCATTGGAATACATTTAAGACAGTTCAGCATTCCTGGGGTTTTGGTGACAGATAGGATATACACAAGAGTGGGATTC